AAGCAGTACTGTTTTTTTTTCCATCCAACTCAACAACAATTACAATTACTATATTCAGGGTTACTCACAAAACCCCTTCAGTGCAGGAGGAGGGAATTTTAATTAAACACCTCATTGATGAAATCAAAACCACGTTTATAAAAAAACTGGAAGAAGAAAAGATGTGAGACAATTTAAAAAAAGAGGCAGGGTGTGGGAGAGATGTGAAGATGAGAAATTGTGGCTTTGATAATTAGGGGGTGGGGTGAAGAGGGGTTGTTTTGGCAGAAAGCTTTGATGAACAGGTTTGTGTTGAAATCCACCTGCATGAGGATTAATCTACTAAATCATGTCTCTGAATGAGGGCTAGAGGATGTGAACATTGAGAGGCAACTAACAGAGTGCTGTCTGGCAGAAGCTAAAGAAGCAGCTGGACATGCTTTGAATCTGCAGTTTAAAAAAAAAATACATAGCAAATGCACAATGTATTGCCCTGCCACAAAGTGGAAATACAAATGTGAAATGCCCCTTTTACCCTGGATGTAATCAGTACAATTCCCACATCTGTTGTGACATTTTGAAATATCATTGTGCAATTTTGGTTGGCCTATTCAGACCTAGACATTGCTGACATTTTTATTTCTTCTAAGGGAGATACCAGCACAACTAAGGAATTCATTCATTGTCTGTTTCTGCTATTGACACATTTTCATAAGCTGGTGGAGCGACAGGAGCTGTCTGGGAACCGTTTTTGGATCTGTGACTTGCGCAGTTCTGCCTGGAGGGCTTGATCTCTTTCCCCTCTTTCCTTGTCACAGCCTGCAATCAGCCTAAGCCCCTTTGTGCTCTCTGTTCTGAACTAAGCCTGTTATCCTGTGGAACTCCTTTACAAACGATCACTACCATATCCCTCTCCTTTGTCTTTCACCACCTTCTCACTCCCATGTCCTATTTGTTCTGTCTCTTTGTTTTACACATACACATATCTGACTCTAACAACTGTGAAGTCTCTCAAGGATGGATTAGTGGGACTACTTTATTTGATCTTTATCTTTATCATAACCTACACAGCGGCATAGACTGACAAAAACAGAAACTGAACTCTGTATCCTTCTCTACCTCAGTTAGTTGCAGTTAAGGTTGTGAATCCTCAAAACATTAAATACATCTAAGGAAAAATAATATAAAAAAAGACAAGATTGGCACAGTGTAATTACCCCATTTGAACGATGTAGTGGAGAATGTCTGATTATGAAAAAGTGATTAGCATAACAACTGTACAAACCGACTTATAAGTGCAGAAAGAATGATTGGGGACCAGGTCCACATGGTGCAGCATGGTGGGGAGCTGAACTCAGGAGATGAAAGAAAATGACCAATTATGACAAAAACCAATTCAGAGTGATTTAAAACATGACACACAAGCCCATTTAATTGAAGTGGAAAGATAATGATAATCTTAACCAACTAATAAAAGAACAGATCAAGAATAAGGGAAAGAACCTTGAAACAAAAAGGTTAGCCACCTAAACAGCAAAACAAACAAAATATCTAATGAGGTCTAGATACAAAACCAATGTGAGTGATCAAGGTTAACAGCATAATTGTTAGTAGATGACTAAAGTTACTCTGTTGACAGAACCTCCCATCTTAGTAATTCTGTAAGAGCTGCAGAGACATTTATTTCTTCTGTGATTAATGCTCTCTTTTCCATACCTGTCAATTTATGTTTAGGCCATGTCTTGATAAGTCTCCGGCTGTTCTTTACTCCTCCCATGAGGATTGAACTGGGTTCAGTAAGATGTTGAAAACCTTTAATGTTTTAAGACCTAACTCTGATTAAACCTCTGTATCTGATTCAACTCTATTCCCCAAGATTAAGGAACAGACAGATGCCATGGTGGAGGCTGCATCTTATGAATCAATGCTGCATAGACTGGAGGACAATGGACAAGGAGGACAGGGGAGGAAGACCACACTTACCAGAGATGGTTTATGTTTACAATTTTTGTTTATTCTGTTCATCAGTGGAAAATATATAAATACTTAAATTAAAGAATGACTTCTATTTATTTTTCTTTCATGTCTATAGCCTAACCCTGACACTTACACTAAACATAACTCAAACCTAAGATATCCCTAAACTTAAACCTAACATACTAAATTCCCAACTTAGCCCTAAATTTAACCGTATGCCCCATAACAGCACTTCTTCTTATGGGGCCCATGCTTTAGGCCCCATGAGGAGCAGCGGATCCTCACAACATGGTGTATGTTGGAAAAACGTGCCATACAAGGTGGAAAATGCTAGAACACGCATACACTCACGCACACACTCCAAGTATGAGTCGTCAGTTGCACATTTCCAACTCGTCTATGTTCTCCTAAACTGCAGCTTGTGGTCTCCCTGGGGTTTGCTTCTCACATTCATAACACTCCCCTCCATGCCAGGTGGCTGTCTCCACAAGTCGTCTTCCTCATAAATCAGGCTGCCTTTGAGTTGATCAATAACAAGTCAATTAGCAGGCGCAGAGCGATAAGGGTCTCTGGGGTCACTGCTTGTTTGTCAGGAAGACATCTGCAGCTTTGTCTCTGTCTGCCACAGAGCTAGGTGTGTCGTTTACCTTGAAATCATGTGGCTACTTGGCTATCATAAATCTAACTATCAACTATAAATAGGTCTGGAGCATCTTGCTATAATCCATCATTTGTTTGTTCTTGGATAATGAATCATGCTTTGCACACCTTAGATCTCTCTGCTCTGTGTGACAGATTTGGATGTATCTTGAAAACAGCACTGACTACTTGTAAACTTCTTCCTGGAATAGATCCGCTTGTCAAAAAAAGGAAGAAACAAATAGAAAAATGAAAACGGATTCTGCTGTCAAAGGTCACACTCGGCCATACGCACCAAATGGAAGATCCAAGGCCTGCCAGTATTCATCCTGCTCCCCTGTTAGGCTGACAAGGCTGGGAAAGACCCAACTGTTGTTTGGTGCCCACTGACTGTGTATCTAATGACTTGGATGGCAAATCCAAAGCAACAGTAACAGGCTCCTGTGGCGAGTACATCAGATTAATCCCCTGGATAATTAGAAACAAGAATGATCTTGGGCAAATACTCTGCATACCTGCTGGGATGCCACAACAAATGATACTGTATAATTTAAACTTGTTACAAGTAGGGAGCTAAATACAGGATGCAAAGAGATTATTAAAATATGCAACTATGAGCCGTTGATGGAAAATTTAACATACATGGATGGTTTCTTAAATGTCTTGTTTCTTTACTGCATGTTTAGTCTGAAAAACTAATTTGCCAAAATAGTAAAAGTCAAATGAACAATGAAGATTCTTTATTCTGCACATTGAGTCACTGTTGTATCCTCTTTTTTTCTTTTGATTAACAATAGAATGACTGTGATAAGATATTTTGAATGATAAAATTATTAAATTGTTTATTTTGCTATAACTAAATATAGCTCCCTGTCTTACTTGTCAGTTAAGGTGTAATTTGAGGATTTTCTCACTTAATCATTGCAAAAGGTGTTTTGCCTCTTTCAGCTTTTGTAATGTTACAACCTCAAATATTAAAGTACTTTATTGGCAATTTATATAAAATGCAAACACAAAGTAGTGCATTGTATCCTCTGTAGTCATTGGATGAGAGGCAAGTAAATCCTTCTGGAAGGGTTGCCAGTCCATCACACAGTATAAACAACCATTCGTATACAAAGTTATAATTAAGGGGAGTTTTTCAGAGGACAATTAACCTACGAATCACGAGGAGAAGATGTATACTCTATTCAGAAAGATCCCAGATGACAATTTGAATAGTGGACCTTCTTGCTGCAAGACAACAGTGCTACCAAACGTGTAATCAACAAGCCCGGAAATCTTCAGTGTATTTTGATAAAATGGAACATGATCAACACAAAAACTACAAAGGAAGAGGAGGGAAAATGTTACATGGTTTAAGAAATATATGTAACACATAAAAATCAGAAGAACGTGTGCCTTTCACGGTTATTCAAACCTTTTGCTGCCAAGTTTTCAAGGTATCATTACCAATTTTGTGCATAACATCTCAGTTCTGTCATATAGAGAGCATCCGTGAACATATATTTCCTGCAGAAACCTCCACCACAGTTTAAAGTATTTTTGCAGCTTCTAACATGTTTCCCTTGGATGCTCTCCATCCAGGATGATAGCGATTGAAATGTTTTGTACAAAAATGATGGATAAACTATATCTTGACAACAACAGAAGGTTTTAATAATTATGGAAGCCAAGTTTTTACAGTTTTGTTGTGAGAAGTTATTTGAAATCACATAGGCTTTTTTTCTCTAGTTTATACTTTCTTTTTTTTATTCTTTGAACCTGTAATTTTTTAATGAAATACATGGATAAATGCAGTTGTTGTGATGTGACAAATTATAAAGGAATATTCTTTCTCATAAAATACAGTTTTCTGTCTTGTTGATCAGTCCTTGCATGATCTGTTGTTTTTCTCTGTCTTTTTGCCTTTTGTTTGTTTAACAGTCGCTCTGTTGCAGTGAAGCCACCTGGATGAGGTGAACCTGCAGATGGATTTGAGGAGCACAGGATCAGTGTGTTGTGGTCAAAGCAGTTTGTTTGGGGTATGCCGTTGGATTCTGCATGCAGCAGTTCCAACTGCTCTTTGGGGTCGACCTTGTTTTTTTTTGTTTTTTTTGTCAGCTGCTTGTATCAGGTGGCAAGAGTTGACTGTTGGGATTCCATCACAGGACGGGTATAAATACAGCATGGTATGGAGCAATCCCACTGTATGAAACCACAACTCCAAACTGTGACAGACTCTCCAACACAAGTACAGTGTATTGTGTGCACCGTGAAAAGGGGCCTGGCTCCAGGGCTTTCCTTGTGCTCCCATGCAGAAAGAGCCCCCAGGGGAGCCGATGCCAGCTGAGACTGAAAAACAAGGTAAGAGCCCAGCTGATACACATGCATACAGGCTCAGCTGTTTGTCTTCGATGAGGGTTCAGCCCATGAAGCAGACATAGATCTAGGAAATGGAGTAGTCTGACAGATTTAAGCCTCCAAGGGAGAAAACACACAGAGAGCACTAAAAGATGGATAGACAGAGGATTCTACAGTGTGTCTGCTATTGGAGTGAAATGGTAAGACGTTTCTAAGATTGTTTGACTGCCTTTTTGTCAGAACTGGGAGTAGAACACGGATTTTATGGAAGGAGACAACAGAAGGTCTATTAGAGGAGCAATACCATAGATCTTACCTGTATAGTGTCATAAAACTACTTGGTGGGACTGAAATACAATTTCTAAACAGTTTAAAGCTATGCTTTGAATACGTTTTCTCTTGATGTTTATTCAATGTGATGCTTTGTTGTTTTCTTTTCTGCTTCTACGTGGTCAATATCGAGGTATTATGCGATAGGTTTGCCCTGTTTTTTCCCCAGCAGCATTTAAAATGTCAGTTGACGTCTCCCAGAGCTCCAATTCTCCTCACAGCCAAGAAAATGACAAACAGAGATGACTGACAGCTTTGCAGAAATAAGGCTGTCCATTTGGAAAACTTGCTGCGTCAAAGAGAAGAAAAAAAAGACACAGCCTCTCTGGGAAAGATGGGTTTCAAGAGTGGAGAGATATGAACATTTTGGTGTTGTATTGATCCTCCAATGCTTTGCTCATGCATTTTACAGAAGATCCAAATGCCACTTATGATATAATACAGCAGTCGAGGTCGAGGCTCTGGCTGCTCAATGGGATTTCAGGGTTGCAGTGTATAAATTCATTGAGAATCAAGTGAGGCTTTTAGGTTGTGTCTAGGGCTTAGCTCTGAGAACACACCAATTTTAAGTCCTAATGGGGGATTTGAACTCTCCAGTCTTCTCTGTATCCATTATTTCATGAACAGATGGAATTATTTTAATACTTTTGCAGTACATCACATGAATCTCCCCTTTTCTGTCTCCTCTCCTCTCCAGGGTCCAAGATCTAATTCTCATCATGGCAGCAGAAAACCCAGAGACAGACGGTCCCAGATCCTTCATGCCTGCTGAGCTCCAGCATCCCCACTCTAAGTATTCTCAGTGGAAATTCAAGCTGTTTAGGGTGAAATCTATGGAGAAGGCACCTCTGCCGAGTGAGACACAGACCGAGATAGGAGCTTCATTAGGGATCTCACCTCCTACCGCTCCAAATATAGAAGCAGATCATGGAGGGGGACTGGCGAGTGTTATGAAATTGTGCCTGGGGGGAAAAAGCAAAGAAAATGTGGAAGGCGCTAGCAAGAGAATTGATATGAAACTGCAGGAAATGGACACCCACATGAACCATCTCAGGTGATCAGCTATGAAAAAAAATCTATGATCTCATAATATTGCGCTCTGTATGTCTTTCAGAGATGATGACACTGTTTTTGTTTCCATGTAGGTGCCTGTGCCGCATCTGTGGAATGATCCTGAGGAAGGTCAAAGGACCTGTGCATGATGTCCATGGTGATCTGGATGATGCAAGCAAGTGTGTGCTCCGCAAAATGGGTTGCAAGTTTACTAGCTGGCCAGACATCCTTCTGAAAGTATTCAAGGTGGATGTGACAGAGGACGCAGAATCCATTCACCCTCTTTCCTTCTGCCATCGCTGCTGGCTTGCCGCCATACGAGGAGGAGGGGTCTGCAGTTTCACTAGAACAAAAGTCCCAGAGTGGAAGCCCCACACCTCCCACTGCTATGTGTGCTCCCCCAAAAAGTCATCATTTCAAAGGACTGGAAGAAAGAGGAGGAAGGTTGTTCCTAAAGTCCAGAGTTTGGCCAAAAGAGCCAGGTGGGACCACGGTGACACCATTGCTGTTGGTGAGAAGAAAGCCCTTAGACCTTTTGGAGACCGCCACAATCCTGTGCTGAGGGCCTGGAAAAAAAATGGTATCCAGAGAGAAAAGTGGGTAAAGAATATCACACACTGCCAAAATGACCACCTGAACACCAAACTGATTGCAGAGAAGCTCCCTACAGATTTTATCATTTCTTTCACCTGCCTTGTGTGTGACCACCTGCTCTGTGATCCAGTTCAGTCCCCCTGTGGGCATCTCTTCTGCCGCAGCTGCATTATAAAATTCACCCATGTTCTGGGACCCCACTGCCCTTCATGCAACCTTTCTTGTGCCCCCGATGATCTCATCCCTCCTGCCAAAACCTTTTTATCAACTCTGTACTCTCTGCCTCTGCTGTGTCCCTGTGAAGGTTGCGGTGAGCATGTGCAGTTAGGCTTGTTCAAGGCCCACTGTCTAAACCATGAGTTGGAGCCGGGTACAAACAAATACTCATCTCAGTTTCAAAGCTACCTGTTAACCAATAAGGGAGGAAGACCCCGCCAGCACTTGCTCTCCTTAACCCGTCGTGCCCAGAAGCACCGACTGAAGGATCTGAAGAACCAAGTGAAGGTGTTTGCAGACAAAGAAGAAGGGGGTGATCTGAAGTCTGTGTGCTTGACACTGTTTCTGCTCGCTCTGAGATCTGGGAATGAACACCGGCAGGCAGATGAGCTGGAGGCCATGATGCAAGGTAAAAAGTTATTTTAAGCCTTTCACTCAGTCAGTGTAGCGATGAATGGCAATGAAAAGCAGACAAAAAGCCAACTGTTAACTATGATGATGTTTTCTCATTAATATCCCCCTTCCTCAGAGGACTACATGAATCTCATAAATAACAATGAGTTGAAAAGTTCAATACTGCAGGGAAAGAAATTGTTTTCTGGCAATTGATCAGAAAATCATTGCATTATAGTCCACCTCTGTTACAAACACAGCCATCCCCAATGGCCCCCCCTGGTTTCACTCATTTTGCCTGTCAGTCCATCAGTCTCACACTCCCTTTAATGCACAGTAACAAGTCTTGTGAAGGGGTTGTTAGAATCAAAACAACATCAGCGGTGCTTGTATCTGCAAATTACACAGACAGCACCATCCTCCTCTCTGGGGAATTGAAGGCAGCTGGTGTCTGTTTTCATCTTCAGCCAATACATCACTTTTGCCAGCTTCACTTTTGCCAGTTTTTTTCTGTCCCCATCTTACATCTGGAAAATAGGAACTATTGGATCTTGTAATAATGTGTTAGCGGGCTTTTGATGATATGTTCACATTTAGGTGGAAAATTTGTAATTCTTTCTGCATCGCCGTGGAAATTACTTCAAATGTAGGAAAATAACTGAACGAATGGCAGACTGCATTTTATTTTTCAAATAATAAGATATTAGACTCATGCATCTACAATCCTGTTACCTTGTTATAAATTTTTAGTTACTTTTGTCTTTCTCACAAACTTATTCTCCTTGTATTGTTTCTCTCTCCACAGGCAGAGGCTTTGGATTGAGTCCTGCCGTGTGCCTGGCCATTCGGGTCAACACTTTCCTGAGCTGCAGCCAGTATCATAAGATGTATCGGACAGTCAAAGCTACAAGTGGCCGCCAGATCTTTCAGCCCTTGCACACCCTCAGAGCTGCAGAAAAGGAACTTCTTCCTGGCTTTCACCAGTTTGAATGGCAGCCAGCTCTCAAAAACGTGTCCACATCTTGTAATATTGGCATCATAAATGGGCTGTCAGGTTGGACATCTTCATTAGACGACTCCCCAGCTGACACCATCACCCGGCGCTTTCGCTATGATGTGGCACTTGTTGCAGCACTGAAAGACCTTGAGGAGGACATCATGGAGGGCCTGAGAGACACTGGAATGGAAGATAGCGCTTGCACCTTGGGCTTTAGAGTCATGATCAAGGAGTGCTGTGATGGCATGGGTGATGTTAGCGAAAAGCATGGTGGAGGACCAGCTGTTCCTGAGAAGGCTGTTCGCTTCTCTTTCACTGTTATGTCTGTCTCCATCCAGGCTGAAGATGAACAGGAGGAGGTCACAATTTTTACAGAGCCAAAGCCCAATTCTGAACTATCCTGTAAGCCCCTGTGCCTTATGTTTGTGGATGAGTCAGACCACGAGACTCTCACTGCTGTTTTGGGGCCCATAGTTGCAGAGCGAAATGCAATGAAAGAGAGCAGGCTCATTCTATCTATGGGTGGCATGCCACGCTCCTTTCGCTTCCACTTCAGGGGCACAGGCTATGATGAGAAGATGGTGCGTGAAATGGAGGGCCTGGAAGCTTCAGGATCTACATATATCTGTACTTTGTGTGACTCCAGTCGAGCAGAGGCATCTCGAAACATGGTGCTACACTCCATCACCCGCAGCCATGATGAGAATCTGGAACGTTATGAAATATGGAGAACCAACCCCTTTTCTGAGTCTGTAGATGAGCTACGAGACAGAGTGAAAGGCGTTTCGGCCAAGCCCTTTCTGGAGACCCAGCCCACGCTAGATGCATTGCACTGCGACATAGGCAATGCCACTGAATTCTACAAAATCTTCCAGGATGAAATTGGAGAAGTGTATAAAAACCCCAACCCCAGCAGAGAAGATCGACGCAGCTGGAGGGCAGCCTTGGATAAACAGCTGAGGAAGAAGATGAAGCTTAAACCAGTGATGAGGATGAATGGGAACTATGCCCGAAGGTTAATGACCATGGAGGCTGCAGAGGTGGTTTGTGAATTGGTGCCCTCAGAGGAGAGAAGAGAGGTCCTGAGGGAACTCATGAGGCTCTACCTCCAGATGAAACCTGTGTGGCGTGCCACCTGTCCAGCCAAGGAGTGCCCTGACCAGCTGTGCCGCTACAGTTTTAACTCCCAGCGCTTTGCCGACCTGCTCTCTGCTACCTTCAAGTACAGGTACAATGGAAAAATAACAAATTACCTGCACAAGACCCTCGCCCATGTGCCTGAAATCATAGAGAGAGATGGATCTATTGGAGCCTGGGCCAGCGAGGGGAACGAGTCGGCAAACAAACTGTTCAGACGTTTCAGGAAGATGAATGCACGTCAGTCCAAGGCCTTTGAACTAGAAGATGTGCTAAAACACCACTGGCTCTACACTTCTAAGTACTTGCAGAAGTTTATGGAGGCTCACAAAGACTCTGCTAAAGCTTTCCAGGCAACAATAGATCCAGAGGAAATCCAGGATGATGAAGATTTGACTCCAGAAATTGTCGGGTTTTGATTTCTCTTAGTTCTATCTCCATGATTGATTTATTTTAAGAGAGTCAGTAATCTACCAATTACCTCGATGTTTATGTTTTCTCACTTTAAATGCGTATTGATATTCCAAGCATAACAGAAATGGAGTAGGTTTATATGTCCTTTAAGAATGCTTTGTACATATTTTGGTATTTGATTAAATTTTTTAGATTAGACTGTTTTTGTGATTGTAAGAGTCGTTGACATCTTTTGTTAGATGAAACAAGACATTTTCTTGAGGAAACAACATTTTGCACTTAAAACGATCAGTACTTCTGAATTCTTTGCTTCCCCCCCACTTTTTTTAAAAAAAAATCTTTGCTGTCTGTGAAATATGATGCATTTTATTGTATTGCAAGGATATGACACATTTATGAATTTATACAGGGGGATATTTATGGAAGCAGATGAAAGAGCTGTAAGTCATGGACTAAAATTGTGTTAAAAAAGACCACATTTGTGGCTACTGTATTAATATATCATTTTAGCCGAAGGAAAATGCAATCACAGGGCCCTAAATGTTTTTTGTTTCATGAGTGCCCTCTGAAAAAGATGACTTTAGTGCTTTATTGTAGGGTCCCCACGGACCAGAATAGATGCTGGGTCACTTTGAAGCAATTTTTTATCTCTTTTAGGCTTTGCACAGCAGAGGATAGATGATAGTTATTCGAATTCTTCTCATAAAATGAAGCATATACTGACCTTTTTGTTGATATTATAAGAATATAGTGTGGTCCATTGGAGAGCCTAATACCCCATGGACTCTCCAGCAAGCAGGGATTTTTCTTCACTTTTGTTTATGACCCCGTTCTTTTTCTCCTTCAGTATTTCTTCACTGTCACTGTTGACAGAGAAGCGAGATGGGCAGGACCAGAAAGTCTAATTTGTTGGCAACTTTATTTGTTTGATTGATTGATTATATTGTCTTTTTCTGCACACGGTATTTTGAACTGTGACAGGTAATTTTCTTTTTCTTTCTTGATTGAATGTTTGATTTTGTTTTACTGCCATATGTTTTACTATACAAATGCAATAAAATATTCACATTTCATCGGAAAGATGTCAGAGCTCTACAAAAACATCATTTTTTAGAAAGCATTACACTGAGAATTGCTGCATGTATGTTTTTGCAATAATGAATTGCATTTCCAAAGTAATGGATGATGGATGATTCACCAAATTTCACTTGTTCTGTTTTGACATATTTTTCTTCATTTTGCGCTTTCTGCCCTACACTAAACATACACTCAGGTGAACTATGAATATTTTTCTCTGGTGATCTTCAAGAGAATCAAAATATTACACTACAGCTGTGCTGTTTTGTTCAGATTTTTCTGTACCGTCACTCAGACTCATAAGCAGTGTCTTACTGAAAAGCTGTTTTTGTGCACAATGGAGATTGTTTTTTTTCCCAAGATAAATAAATAAAGAAAATACTTGACCTCATTACTAATGATTTCATGTCATTGAATTTTCTTCAATAGCTGGAAAAGCATAGCTGTTTTATGCTACAGTAGAATTTAAAGAATCCAGGGTTGGACAGGGCATGACAACACAATTATAAAATATAGTTTTATATTTATCAACATATTGTATTTAAAATATCAATATATATATATATATATTGTACAAAAAAATAATGTAGATATGGTGTATATTTTTCAATGGGATTTTTAACTTTTATTGACTGTCAAATGCCTTACAAGTTGAAGTTAGGATATTATTGAAAAGTTCATACATTTGAATAACTTTTCTCATTTATTGAAACAAATATCTCCTTTCACCAGAATGTAAGAATAAATTATTTATTTCCCGCCGTCAATGTGAAACACTCACAAACTATTATTGAAGTACTAATCAAAATACACAGTTCAAAGTCACAAACTGCATCTTTTTAAATTTTTTATTTTCTTACACATATTTTTTGGTACATTTTAATGAGTGATAACACCTTTCATGATAACACAATTTAAAGGGCCTAAAAGAACATTAGAAATTACAATCTGTGGTAATTTATTTTATTTAAAAATTTGCATTAAAATGTTAAAATTGAAACTGAACGCTTTGCATTTCTCAATAAATTCAGGGAGTTCTCTTGAAAGTATGCATCTTGTACAATTAATTTGTATTCCAAAGCAAGACTTTTAACACAGATTAAATTTCCACAACTATCAAAGAAAATGGAACTCAATCAAAAAGTCTCTTGAAAAAGCTTTTCTTGGCTGGGGATATTTTGAACATCAGGGGTCCATTTCTCTCCTTCACTTTCATTGGGGTGCGCTTCACTGGGATACTCTGTCGTGGTGGAGTCATCTCCTGGTAAGGCAGACCTCCATGATCTAAACAAAAGTACTTTTTGCTTCCCTGAGATAGTTTGACTAACAGGGTCTCAGACAGCTCCATGCACTGAGCATGGACCCAGTGTCCTTCCTCCCCTTTTGAGCAGAAAATCATGGCTGGGCGGTGGAGCTCTGTGGAGTATAATGGCTCCCATGTGTTGGGGTCCACCTGACAGCCAACACAGCATTTGGTCCAGTAACCGGTTTGCGATTCATCCTCCTCATCCTCTTCATTGTAAGTGTCTGCCTCGTCATCACTGCTGTTTTCCAGCTCGTGTGGCTCACGACCAAAGTAGAGCTCCTCAGAGTCCTCAAGCGGAGTGGAGTTGTCGTAATCTGTTGACTCTTGGCTGCATGCCTGGGTCCCTTCTTCCTCATTGGATTCCTTCTCTTGCTGGAAGCTGACGTGGTAGAAGTAATGCACATCAGGCTGGGATGGTCTTCCTTCAGTGGGAACAGCCAACAGGATGCAGCCATCTCCAGCACTGCCTCCAAACCATGTGCGACTATGGATGATATCTTGAGTCCACTTGGGAGGTTCCAGGTGCTCAATGTGGATCCCCTTCTCATCCAGAATGACCATGTTGCATTCCATTCTCTTTTGGGAGTCAGATTGGTATCCACCTAACACAATATATTTATGACCAGGACCTGTGCGTGTAATGAGGGCACTAGAGATGGACAAGCCAAAGTCTAAGGTCTCGCAGGAAAGCAAAGGGCTTCCCTGCAGGAGTTCTACATGAAGGCGGAACAGACGAGGAGGACGTGAGTCAGAGCTGATAGAATGGCCTCCAATAAAGTACACACTGTCCTCTCTGGCAATAGCTACATGAAAGGACTGTCCGTCACTGAGCTCAGGCAAAGTGTGAGCTGAGGAACACCCAAACTCAAGATCAAAGAGGAAAACCTGAGGAGGACAGTCAACAACACTGTTCCATCTTTCTGTGGTCCGCTCTCCTGCAGGCATGTAGGACCTGCCCCCAAAAATCACACAAGCTGTCTTGCCGCGGCTTTGTACGATGCTCATGGCGTGGCCATATCGGGCCCCTGGCACTTCCCCCACCAGCTCTTTCTCTTTGCACTTGAGCATTAGTTTGCGATTGCAACCTCGACTATCCATAGTAAGCAGGTACAAGCTTGATGAGATCTCATTGTTAGGGGTGCGGCCTCCATGGATGAGATAACTCTCTGGGAGTCCGTCATAGGGGTCGAGGCGGCAGATGGCTGGACAGCGCAGCGGAGGGAGATAACACGAGTCGTTAGAGAAGGATATGGCCCTCAGCTTCATCTCACTATGTTTGAACCTGACACCAAAGATTCCTGTCGGACATGAACGCTTTGGCCAGCCTTTCTGGCCGAACAGCAGGATTTCCCCATCCAGCTGTAACAGGGAGCAGCCAGGCTGCAGGAGGCCTGCACAGTTCACTGGAGTTAATGCTTGCAGGGTCATGATCCGCCAGGTGCCTGCATCAAAACAGCAATCGAACACACAAACACAATGTGTCAGTCTGTCAGCTGTTGTTTGTTTTCAATGAGGGATTTTGAATTTCTACTTCCTGTTTTATTCATGTGAACAACCACAATTACTGTAATTCTAGTCCTAGCAATGACACATATAAGTGCTATACATTTTCATACAGACTGACTTTTAGTCTATTCCTCTGATCAATGAAAAATAAAGGTATTTGCTTGAGGTACAAATGCCAAAATAATTGCGATATTCAAATACTTCATAGCAGACATAGTAGCAAAATAAAAACTACACTACAACACGTCTAATACTACAATTGTACATTCTGCTTCTGAACAAAGCAAAGTCTGATTTTCTGCAATGGATTGTGCTATTTTTCAAAGCAATGCTGGTTTTATTATTTATTTTAGACAACTAAGTAGATAAACAGCTCTATTTTATGAGTTTGCCCTTTTTATTTCCCCACACATTTAAACTATATAGCTTTCAGTTAGAGCCTCACAGCCAAACATTAATCTTTTCAGGAGATTAGTCAGTGGCAATGAATAAGATTACAATAAGTAAATGCTCTTTTCTAGCTCAAACAGTAACATGAGAAGGGAAAGTACAAGAATTAAGTCCTTTACGTTATATTTTTATTTGCTTACCTTACCAGCAGAAGTGAGATCCAGTGGGAAAGATCAGTTTTAATGTACTGTAATTCTTTTTTTCCCCGAGGAAGAAGCTTAAAAGGTCTTGTTGCCGATCTTTGATGAAGGCAGAAAGTGGTTGAGATTGTGAAGCTTCGTTGACTTTCAAACACTTCCAGATCTTGAGGTTAACAGTCTGTGACTGCTGCACGCTGGCAGGTGTGCCAAACGAGTGCTTCCAGTTTGTCAGTTCTCCGTACTTTAACTGTATATCATCTATATTATAAAGAGAACAACTGGATATTTGAAACCATTTTCAACAAATGCAAACATATTTTATGTGTTTGTGTGGAAACTATTTTTTATGAATATTTGAGATCAGAGGAAAAAAAAAGGTAGCCACTCCAATCAATAATAGCTCAAATCAGCCCTTATCAGAAGAAATCTAGAATACATATGAATGCACAACTCATAAAACTTTGAGGCAGGTGGACAACAGCAGCTGAAGAACACAAGTCTGGATCAATGTAGCAGAGAATTAAGGCAGTTCTGAAGACCAACCGGATCCAGTCCAGTACTAACAAGATGTACTTCATAGTGTTGCCTGAGAGAAAATGTAACAACTGAAGAAAAACAAAAAAATATAGAAGAAATTTAAATAAGAAAATCCAAGATAGGAAATGGAAAGTTTGAAATGGAGAGTGATGAAATCTGCCTAAAAACCACGCAACTTTAGCAAGTCCCGTGTCTTTCTAAAGAAGACACATGACTTCTTCAGCAAAATTTAAACACTTCATTTGAGGATGTCAAATAACTCTTAAAGCTAGGAATGGAACTTCTTGTTAAATATGGGGCAGTTTTTTTGCAAAAACTGTTTTTATTGTATTCTTAGGAGTGAAAAGACACTTTTTCTTGAGCCCTTCTTCATCAAAGAGTCATTTTAACAGTAATGTCACATGTATGCCTGAGTTTCAACCTCCATTTTCATAATTAAGGCTCCTTTATTCAATCTGAAAAACCTTTTGTCCATCTATTTTTTCTCACAGTGTAAGCCAGATAGACACACTGCATAATTAAATAATAAGCTTTGGATTTAAGACATTTGTCATTTTTTTGACACATCTGCAGCTGAATAACATGTCAATTGCGTGATCCAATAACACACCTAACTATTATTCTATATCTTGCCATATTTTTGCTTCATGTTGGGAAGGTAAGAGAAAAAAGAAACTAGCAGGTTCTGTATATAATTCCTTTGTGTCTCTGCGTCTCTGTTTTAAAGATGTGATCCCTCTGAAAGAAAGCAAATCTTCTGTATGAGTGACAAACGCAGGCCTTAACAAACACAGAGAAAAACCATGCTGGAAGCAGCTGTCTACACACTCATTACCATAATGTTTTTTGAGCTCTGAGTGGCTGAGACAAAACTTGAAGAGTGTGCAAAACAAAGGCAGAAACCTCAAGTGCCTGGAAGACCGTTACGGCTAAAAAACACAAAACAGCAGCAGCACCTGTGTGTTTAAACCGATACTCGTAGGGTTGAGTGGAAGAAGAAACAATCCGCTCCTTTTACCGGAGAAGAAATAATGCAACAAATGTCAGCGGGATATGCAAAGGATTACTTTATTTCCTTTATATTTTTGAGAGCTGGTGCCCCTATATTTAAACCCAGCCTTGGAAAAATAAACTTATTTAGTCACCAGAAGGCATCCACACAATTGAAAAGTCTGCCTGGCATGCAGCTTACAGCTGGGCTGGTGCAGAGAGCGTAGGAGGCCCAGCGGTGTGTGGCAGACTCTGGGCTCATGCAAAGATTTGTACATAATTGATAGAACAAAGTAATTAGAATCTACGGCAGCACCTGTTTCTGTCCATTTTAATGTATCACTACCTGCCTGCTGCTACCCCGAGGTTTGCTTTTTGATTGATGACATGGGGGCAGCTCAGATGTTCTGACAATGGCTGTGCCATGGTGTTTATCACTATTTAATGTTGTGATAATTGCTC